AGTGTATCTACTGTATTTAAATAGAACAATTTTTAACCTTCTGTTTGCACTGTTCTCTCGATCTCCTGAGACATCAATGCAAATGACCTGAAGAGAGAGAGAGATCTGAAGAAACATCTCAGGGTCTCTCCTACCTGCTCTGATGTCTGTAGTCATTCACCCAAGTATCGTCCAGATCACCACCATTTGGTTTTACTCTGCACCTTGGGGCTTAAAGGCACCCACTATAACATTCAAGAGTTCCTTTATCATGCTGTGGAATACTTAATATTCACATAAGAACATAAGAATTGCCAGACGAAAGGATAACAAAGTCCATCCAGTTCACCTTCCACCATCCTGCCAGTTTCCTGCACATTTTAAAATAAATCATTAGGTATAAATAGACCATACGCTGCGCTGTCCTCTTTAGTCAGTGACTCGTGGTGGAATACAGTGCCATGTATTCTTCCTCAAGTGGTCATTGCAACCGGACAGTAGCCACAAGCCATTCTAATGTGGGGAATATTATTATGACCCTGTTGCTGTCTTTATGAGATAGATACACAGTGCAAGCCGCATGCTTTGCAGTATTAGTCACTGCAGGAATGTGTGTATCATTGGTTCCCTTCCCCACCTCCCAAGATCAGAGGCACAATTGAGGTGCGTGCTTCGTTGGTTTTCCCCCCCTCCTCCCCCCCAACCGAGCTCACTCAGCTAACAAGGCACAGACCAGGGATCAAATCTGGCACTTTCTGGTTTATTTAGCTCAGACCCACCCCTTCAGAGTACATTCAATCCCGGAGGCAAAGGGAGGATGGAGGCAGCTGTTTTCCTGTCACTGAGTACAATGATTGCAGGAGCAAACATCACATGTTAAACGTAGTGCAATAAACAACTCCCTTGAGGAGGGAGGGAGGAGAAGAAATGAGGGAGATGCTTAAAGCCCTAGCAGGTAGGGTGGTCCTAGCTGGACTAGCAGTGGGCAAGCTTGCCAGAAGTGCTATCAATGGCGAACTATAAGGTTTTAGCTGGTTAGAATCCAGCAGTTAGCTCAACGTACACTCTGAGGTCCCCAAGCCTCGGCTCTCTCCAACCTGCGCCTAATACTTTCCGGAATTAGGTAAGCAGGATGTGTCCCTCCAGAGAGAGAGAGCAAATTCCATTCCAACAATCTATCTCTGGGATTTCCATGTGTAGGTGGGAGGCAGGGAATTCTCAGCTCGGTTTGGATACTCTTAAGCACGGTGAATGATTTCTGTATGTGTCAGACACCCGGCTGACCAACAGAAAAAAAGGTGCTTTAAAAGGACAGGAGTAAGGCAGAGATTAGGCACTCAGGGGGACAGGGAAATTGAACCTCCTTAGCATTGCTCTGTGGTTCTTTGGTGTTGGGTATCAGCAGTGTCCATAACAGGTCCCGCATTTGAATAACTCATCTTTAGGAGCACTGTAACACAGGATCCATTCTGCCCATTGAGTCTGTTGCATTGTTTTATTAGATCACAGCAGATGTGGGACATCCTCCTGACGTGAAAGGGACTATACAAATGTAATTTTGTATTGTATATTTTAATCACTGTTAAGGTGGACGTTAAAGATCCCATGGTGCTATTCGAAAAGAGAAGGGAGTTTCTCTCCCAGTGTCCTGACCAGATAAAATTGGTCACTCACTTCATGACTGTTTGGGGGACATTTCTATATGCTTGTTGCTTGCCACGATTGCCTCAAATACACACAGCAAAATCCTGTGATGCTTTGAGACGTCTCGACAACGTGATAAGGCTCTGTACCAAATGTGAAGATTATCATATTATTGGTTAGTCAATCACGCCATCCTCTTCTACCACCTCTTCTCCCTCATCTACCTTAGTGGGACCGCACTCACATGGTTCGAGTCCTACTTGACTAACCGCCAACAATTTATCTCAGGAAACGGGTTCTCCTCCCACCCCTCGCCTGGTCATCCTGTCATTGTGGAGTCCTGTAGCTCAGTGGTTAGAGCACTCACTTTGCAAGCGAGAGACCTGAGTTCAATTCCAGGCAGAGGGCGAAACCTTGGGCAAGTTTCCTTACTCCACACACCTAATAATAATCCCTCCAAAAACCCAAAACAATAATAAATTGGTCATTTTCAATCTACGACTGTTAGTGGGACATTGCTGTGCGCAATTGGCTGCCGCGTTCGCCTACAAATATACAGTCAATTCACTTTACAGTGTGTTCTGTGAAGCGCTTTGGGACGTCCTCCCGACGTGAAAGCGCTATATCAAATGCAAGGATTATTATTATTATTATTATCCTCAGCCCCCTTCTTTTCATTATTTACATGCCCCCCTCGGCAATTTCATCCGCGGACAAAGGGTCAACTTCCAAATGTATGCAGATGACACCCAAATCTACTTCTCCTACTCAAGCTGCATCTCCCAGTCCGCTAATGTCCTGTCAGCTTGTCTGACGGACATCAAGGCCTGGATGAGGGCAAGTTTCCTGCAGCTGAATGTCGGTAAAACAGAAGCCATATTATTTGGCTCCCGTCAATGTCTTCTTTCCTATTTGGCTCCCAATCACCAAACAGATCAACTTCAAGATCCTCTCTCTCGTTTTCAAATCCCTTCAAGCCCTCGCACCTCCCTACTTTTCCGACTTGCTCACCCCCCACTCCACCACTCACTACCTCCGCTCGTCCGGCTCGGTCTTTCTGTTTGTCCCTTGCCTCCTCCGTTCCACTATCAGCAGCCATGCTTTGAGTGACTACGCTCCGAAGCTGTTGGACACTCTCCGCCAATCCCTTTGCCCCTCCCTCCCCACTTTGAAATCCCGCCTAAAGACCTTCCTTTTTGATCGTGCATATGGTCACCTCCGCCCTCCCTCTCCCCCTGGCTCGGGGTCAGACTCCACCACTGTTAAGCAATCCGGGATGCTACCCAGAGTGAAGGGAGCTATGTAAATGCAAGTTGTTGTTGGATCGCTTTCTGGAGGTAATAATCACTCCCCAAAAATGATCACTTTCCACTTTCCTGGCAGTCGCATGTACATATGTCCCAAACTGCCTATGTACTGTATCCCATAATGTTATTTCCTAAAATAAAACTATCTAATCTGTGTTTGAAGGAATCAACACTTTCTGGTTCAACAATTTCCCCAGGGAGCCTGTTCCGCAGATTCACTATTTGCTCACTGGAATCCACTTTACAATATATTCCGTGAAACACTTTGAGATGTCTCATCAACGAAGAGATAAAGTGCTGTATCCAAAATGCAAGGATTATTATTTTTATTATTATTATTATTATTTGACGATCTCACATTTAAACATTCCAAGTGATTCTGTATGAATGACCCTCTGGGTCAGGGCAACCACACAACCCACTGTGTGAAATCTCACAGCCCACGGTTTTCTGATCTCACAGTTATTAAAATTAGCTCAGGTTTAATTTTAAGACTGTTGTCCAGAGGTGATGGTGGGAAGGAAAAGGGTCAGTCAACAACTGCAGTGCGGAGGCTGTTTTATTTGTTTTAAAACACTGTTTTATCCAAACTAATATAATTCCTCATTTAAACACTCTGAAGCGTTTCTAGGAAATTATATTAAAGAGTTGGTTACAATTTTTGTTACAATAAAAATGCAGGTATGAAAAGTTTTGCAAATATAATCTGATCAAAAAAGTAACAAGTTAATTCAGGGGAATGTATTGGGTAAATTGAATTATCCTTCATTATTCTCATCTTTATTTTCACCTATCCAACATAAACACATACACACCACAAACGGTGGAATTACATGCTATGTTTTTCATTGATTGTACTGAAATTAAATTATTGAAACTTAGATTCCTTTTAAAAATAATATGTGACTCCAAATAATAATAATAATCCTTGCATTTGGGATAGCGCCTTATCACGTCGTCAAGACGTCTCAAAGCATTTCACAAGTTATACTGTAAAGTAGATTGACAGTGTATTTTGTTAGCGAAACTTATATATGAAAAATACTTTTTATATAACAAATTTAAAGTCGTGTAGCGTAGTGGTTACGGGTTCGATTCCCAGGCAGGACAAACCCTCAGGCAAGTTTCCTTATTCCACACGCCTCTGTTTACCTAACAATTGGCTGCCAGGTTTCGCCCACAAAATACAAATACACAGTCATTCCATGTGATAATATATTGTGTGAAGCCTTTGAGACGTGTCAACGACATGATAAGGTGCTATATCAAATGCAAAAATTATTATATATATATATATAAAAGACTTTCCTCCATACAAAGTACCTCTACTTTGCAAACTCCATCAAAGGCACTTTGTACAGTGTATTTCATAATTTCTGATAAGCTTAAACCCTGACTTAAACTCTCCCGCCCACCCGGATTAATTCCAGGATCAGGGTTGACACCAAAATGATGTCTTTTAAACTGCATTAGTGTTGCAACTTCAGCTACAATTCAATGTAAAAGTTGCATTCAATTGATATTGAACACACAGCACAAATTGGGATCAGTCATTGACTATCTCTCACTGCACTCTCTCTCCTTCTCTGCACTCTCCTCTGTTTCTCTCTCCACACTTAACACACACTCTCCCTCTCTCTCTTCCTACCCTTTGAAATCTCTCTGATTTCCCTCTCTGCATTTTCCTACTCTCTCTCTCTCTCTCTCTCTGTGATCTGTCCACCTCTCCCTGTCTCTCTCCCTATCTTTCTTTCATCTGCACACACATCTCCTCATAGCAACTGAACAAGCCAAGTACTTCAATAGAATATTAAGCACACGTCAGGAACTCCAGCAGAGAAATAATAATGAAGCAGCATATGTATATGTGTATATATATATATATATATACCCCTCGGTTTACTTAAACCATGTTTTTTCAACCACAAGGGATATTTTTTCCCTTTATTTTTTATTAAACTTTTATTTAGGCAATCGACAACCAGAGAGAAAATAAATGAAATAACAAATGCATTGCCCAAAAGTCAGCTTATGTTTAGGAAGTTTTTAAAGTTACTTTGGAACACTTACCGCAGTTGTGAGCGCCATTACTTTCCTCTGATTTGGGACTTGGTTTGTTAGCGTCCTGGACTTGGGTCTGAGAGCTGGTGGAACAACCCATTACACAGACCACAGCCTCTGTTCTCTGGCACAAGTTATGAACTCCAGCTGCTTTTTCTTAAACACCACCCCCCCCACCAAAAAAAAATCACAGGAGGGAAGAGAGAGAGAAAGAAAAAAAGAAAGAAATGAGAAGTTTGGAACGAAAAAGACCTACTTTTGGTCAATTACCAAAAATAAACCTTCCAGAAACACACACTCACCCTCCTCTGATCTCAGCTTAGATGACTATGATAAAACAGTCTGTTAGGTTTCTTTCTCTCTCACACACACTCTCTCTCTCTCTCTCTCAAATAAAACCTAAACAACTAAACTTTATCCTCTATTAACCTTGTTTCCACTTCAACACACATGTTTGATAAACTGTATGTGTATTCTGTTGCGACCGGTTGCCATATGAGCAGAATGTAATCTGCCTGTCTCAAACTGGATTGATTTACATTGTTGTGAGTGATAAAGTAGGCAGAACCATTGCCTTGTGTGTCAACCACTCTCACGCAGACAGACCGATAATTGCAGGGCTGCCTTTTGATCATCTTCAGGAAGAGATAGAGAGCGAAAGAGGAGCTGAATCCAGCAGGACTTCCAGCATCACTGGTGTAACAACAATAAGTTATTATTAATAATAATAATCCTTGCAATTCATATAGCGCCTTATTACGTCACTGAGAAGTCTCAAAGAGCTTCGCAAGATATACACTTCAATGGTATTTACTGTAGAGTGCATTTTATGCATAGCAATGTCCCACAAACAGCCATGAAGTGAGTATCCAAACTTTTTTCAGGGGGGAGGAGGAATTCTTGGCCAGAATGCCAGGAGAAATTCACTTTTCTGTTCATGGAAACTTTTAACACTGGATCTCTGTTTAATGTGACATCCAAAGGACGACACCTCCAACCACTGTGTTGGAGTGTCAGCCTAAACTAGTGAGTTCAACATCTCGGTGTGGAGCTTGAACCCACAGACAGATAATTATTTGGGGAGGACAAGTTTGCAGGGCTATGGGGAGAGAGCGGGGGAGTGGGATTGAATTGAATAGCTCTTTTCAAAGAGCCGGTACAGACACGATGAGCCAAATGGCCTCCTTCTGTGCTGTATAATTCTATGATTCTATGCCAACCTTCTGACAACAGAAGTAAACCCCACTACCACCTGAAAGACGACACGTCTAACAATGCAACACAACACAACCCCAGTATTGCATTGGGCTTTCAGCCTAGAATATAAGCTCAAATCCTGACATGAGGCATTAAACCCATGACCTTCTGCCACAGAGGCAGAAGCGCACTAAGGAACTGAGCCACGCTGGCATTACACAATGTCTACATCGAAAAGTGTTGGGTAAACATTATCTGTTTGTTTGAAAGAATTTGTGGAAATTGCAGTGAAATAGGTGATTGGGGTTAGAATGCGCTGAGCTGGGTGATCTGAACTGGGGAAGCAGCAGTGACGGAGGTAATAGGGGGTGATGGTAGGGTTGGTGCAGGGAGGGGTGGATCTGCTCCCCCGGTGGCCTTTAAGTGTATGTAGGGCACCTCATACCTCCCGCCTCAGCTCTCTTCCCATTCCTCTCTGCCATGCCTTGTGCCTAGTACAACCTTGTGAGCGGAGAGTGACAGGAAGATGGTGCCATTAATGTCCCATCGCCCCCCCCCCCTCCCCCACCGTTGCAAATACCTGGCTCTACCACTGGGCAGTAGCTGGGCATGGGTGATGCTCAAATGGTCCTCTGTGCCCCTGGGCTGGAGAGAGGAAACCAATCTGAGCAGCTTCCCACTCCTGATCATTGCAGCTCGAGTTCTCATTGCTGAAGGCTCACGCATTGCAGAAGGTGGTGCAGACAGGTCTACCCACTGACCTGGCTGCTCTTTCCGCTCAACAGGCTCTGGCCTGTTCTACCTCCCAACCGGCCCGCCCTACCATCAGCAGGCAGGCCTTCAGCTTTTCTACCCCCATCCTTTGGAACACCATCCCACAATCCCTTCGCCTTGCTCCCTCACTTGCCTCCTTCAAGGCCCGTCTCAATACCCTCCTCTTTGACTTTGCTTTCGGTCACCCCTACCCTCCCTGCCCTCCACCACTCCTGATCCAAACCCCCAGCTCGGGTGCAAATCCCTCACGACATGAAAGGCGTTGCACAAATGTCATTTGTTGTTGTTTGTTGTTGTTGTTGTTGTTGGAGGGCGACTTGTGTTCCGTGGAACCGTTCCCCCAGAATCAGTGTCTTTGGGAAACTTAGAAAGGGTAAGGATGAACGCAAAATAAAAAATCGCTTTGACATCTTTACTTTTTGGTAACGTGCTGCAAATGTATTTCCAAACCAATTATTTCTGCCATACTCATTTATTTTGTTTCTGTTTAATTTATTTTTGATTCGCAGACTGTAAAGTAAAACATGACAGGGGGGTGGGTGGTGGGGTGTGGATGAAAACTGCTTGCACGCACAGCTCCTGAATCCTTCCATTATCTTGGAACAAAGGCTGTCACTTTTAATAGCATGGCTAATACCAGACAGAGCCAGCTAGCCAGGTGACACCCTGTTTTCCACGCCAAGGTGTCAGTTCAAATCATGTGGGTTCTTCCCTGACTGATAATGAGCTATGACAAGGGAGGCCAATAATTACCATGAGCAAATTAACGAGGTTGAACAATTTATTGGCACTTTGCCAACTCTCATAAAGGGACAGCGTTATTATATTATTTTGGCCTTGCAAGTGGATATGCTGTACTTAGGGCTTCTGATTTTCGGTTTTATCCCCAAAAACATACAGTCAATTCACTTTACAGAATATTCTTTGAAGCGCTTTGAGACATCTCGAAGACGCTATATCAAATGCAAGGATTATTATTATTGTTATAAACCCAGGTTGTACCCTCGACACAAAACAAATGAAATCGGTGAGGATTTCTCTCTCTCTCTCTCTCTTGCTCGCTCTCGGCAATGCAAGGATTATTATTATTATTATTATTATTATTATTACCCTAGTATGTTAACGGCCAGTTCAGCTCCAAGATTTTGCCATAAATTCCTGGCAAAATTGGATGGTTAAATAGTTACAGAAAGGGAATAGCACTTACTCAATGGCCACAATTTTAATCATTGAGCGCGATGACTTGTTTTATTCCAAGTCACTTGTAACTGTTACACCTAGATTCTAGGAAATTGAATAGTTTATTTTAAAAGAAAAGATATCCAGATAGGTTGAAACAAATCCTAGTAGGTACTGATTTTTTTGGATCCACTGTTTATCCTTTGAAGAGTTATGATGGTACATTGAATATTGACGACTAAGAAATATCTATAAAAATCAAAAATCAACCACTTGATCCTAGTTGGATTGAGTTCATTTCGACGTTTTCACTTAGTTTCCTTACTCCACACGCCTAATAATAATCCCTCCAAAAAAACAAAAACAATAATAAATTGGTCACTTTCAATCCACGGCTGTTTGTGGGACACTGCTGTGCGCAATTTACTTTACAGTCTATTCTGTGAAGTGCTTTGAGACGTCGAAAAGCGCTATATCAAATGCAAGGATTATTATTATTATTATTAAACCCCAAAAATAAGAAGCCTGAGATATACCTAACAGCTGTGCTTGTTTCATTATTTTAACTGCACATATCTGATTACATTCACTATAATTCATTTGTTTTGGTCAGCTCGGTGTCCGACACATGCAGAAACCCATCACCATATTTAAGAGTATCCAAACCAAACTGAGAATTGCATGCGTCCCACCAAAACACATGGAAATTCCAGTGATAGATTGTTGGAATGGAATGCGCACACTCTCCCTGGGAATAATTATCAGAACAAACTAACAGAATGTAATTAATAATAATTCCTGCATTTGAAGTAGCACAAATAATGTCAAAACATCTCAAAGTCTTTCACAGGAATTTGGCATCAAGGGTATTAGACTGTGTACTTTGTAAGCAAACACTGGAGACAGTATTCACACAGCAAGGTCCAACAATCGAATCTTTAATTTATCTGAAGGATTTATGATCAGGACAGGGGGGAAATCTGCCTTCTCTTTATGAACGTAATGTTTTATCTTTGTGAAGCATACTTTAATAACCCTTACATTTGACATTGCACCTTATCACGTTGTTGAGACGTCTCAAAGGCTTCACAGGATATGTCCATTTCGTGGGTGAAATACGGCAGCCAGTTTGCCCAAAGCAATGTCCCCACAAACAGCCATGGAGTGAGTGACCAATTTTATTTGGGGGATTTTTTGAAAGGGATTATTACCCCCAGAAAGCAATCCGCGCATTGACTAACAACTAGCTAAGGTTCCTACTTACTGCTAGGTAAACAGAAGCATGTGGAGTTAGGAAACTTGCCTAAGGTTTTGCCCTGCCTGGGAGTCAAACCCGAATTCTCTCGCTTGTGAGGCGAGTGCTTTAATCACTAAACTAGAGAACGCTGTATGATATGAATACAGACATGAAGAAAGGTCATGGTAATATGGTGCTGCCAGCAGATGTGGAAACATACCACAGCATGACTGAGAGAGGAGGAAAGGGGACAAATGCTAAACCTGTGTTCACATTGAAATCTTTTATCTAGACCCATGCAGTGAATGCAATGCAACCGAGAGGTAATTTCACAATGTGTCACATAGCAGACTCAACCCTGCACAAATCCCATGACCCATGCACATTACACTCAATGAAAGAACATTTTTTAAATGCCAGTTTGATGAGCAATAAATGACACCAGGAGATATTTGTTCAATATTATTGATGGGGGTGAATAAGACTCGTTCTTTATTTTGGTCTAATTATTAACATCTGACAGATAGACATTAACACGTGGAGGGAGAGCACAAAGGTGTACAGTTTAGCACGAAAGCAGTGTGCAAATAGAATTTGCACAAAACAGTTCAGTGGTTATGTTTATCCTTTGCCAACCTCGGATCAATATATGCCTCAACATTTGTACACCAGAAGGCAAGTACAAGGCAAGCTATGATGCCAATTTGTTGAATAACGTGGAGTCCTGTAGCGTATCGGTAAGAGCACTCACCTCGCAAGCGAGAGGACCCAGGTTCAATTCCCAGGCAGAACGAAACCTTGGCCAAGTTTCCTTACTCCACACACTTCTGTTTACCTACCAGTAAGGAGGTAGGAATCCAGTTGTTGGTCAATTGTTGGATCGCTTTCTGGGAGTAATAATTCCTCCAAAAAAAAAACATTTGGTCAA